TAAGAATCAAGTGAATAAATACCTGATGTACAGAATGAACCTGGTGATTATAATAGAATCAGGGACATAGAAAGGGAATGGACTGACTATTCTTGGGGGGAAAAGGGGTGTGGGAGATGCGGGAAGAGACTGGACAAAAATCATGCACCTATGGATGAGGACAGTGGGTGGGGAGTGAGGGCGGAGGGTGGGGTGGGAGCTGGAAGGAGGGGAATTATGGGGGGAAAAAAGAGGAACAAATGTAATAATCTGAACAATAAAGATTTAATAAAAAAAAAAGAAGTCCTTCTGATCGATAGGGTACAAGCATTTATTTTGGCTCAGAAATTGCCTCTGCTTTCCTTTTGTCATCACTCCCTGGAATCTTCCTTCCTGCATGGCTTGCTTGCTATATATACCTGAGGTTCAGGCAAGCTCCATAAGCTGCCAAAGCAGTCAGATGAAAAGTGAACACCATTTCAAGTGTCATCCAGATGTTTTATCTACCTGTTGTCATGCAGCTCCATCTTTGGGAATGTGTGGCTGTTTAGCTTCATAGCAAGTAAACACCTGGATGCTCAATTTAAGATTTTGTTCATCATTTTTACCATGATCTTTTGGCATTAGGCAACTCATTATTTTTGTATCTAGAGTACATACTTCCCCACAACACCCCACCATCCAACAATGCTCACAAAACCCAAAAAAGGAATAGAAATGGAAAGAGGCTGTGCAACTTTGTTTTTATGCCCAGGGCATCCTGGCTGCTTTGAGAAGTCTACACATCTGCAGTGTTTTCATCCTGCCAGGGGATTCTTACAGGTAGGGAGACCCCAGGGAGACCTTCATCTATAGTTGGCTGTCAAGAACCATTGGTCTGAGAAGATAAAGGGAGTGTAAACTCAAGCTGGTCATCCTCAGAGGAGTTAAATTTTCAGCCTCTGCTCTGGCCTCCCTTTTTTTCAATAAATCCTCCTTTCAATGAGTTTCTCTCTCCTCCTTTCAAAACTCTTTTGTCTGTCCTCTCCTTTCCTTCAATCCATAATAAACAAATGTGTTTACTAAATTTGAGGAAAGTAATGGGATGTGTTTCTAGCTCATTAATTTGAAATATGGTCTTACTTTCAGCAGATCTCATTTGGAACAGTTCTAAATTATTTAACTTATAAATTCAAATTAGGCTTGCCTCATTTAAGTATAAAATTCATTGCTCTATATTTTATATCACATATATTCATCCCTTAACAATAATAACAACTATAATAATAATTAGCACATTAAATTGGAGAATCTGAAAGCATTTTTCAAAAATTTGCTTCAAGGCTCTGAACAAGCCCTCCATAAAGCAAGTAGGAAGAGAACACCACAACTGCCATTAACTGGCAACCAACTCACCTAAACCCCATATAATTAGACTGCTTGGGCCACTGTGTTTTCAGAAGAGGTGAACAACTTGAAAATATTCTCACATTACTCATTCTTACATTTAACCCAACCTCACTGTATCAGGGCTGGAAATATAGATATGGCTCTTTCCATAAAGGGCTCAGTGTAGTTAGATAAAAACAACTATCAGGTGATGTCTTAGGCTCTAAACACAAGCCCAACTCGTCTGCTCTTAAGCTCTTTCTTTTCTTCACAGTATCTAGTACAGTGTTCTGAACAAAACATTTGCTCCGTAAATAATCAGAATGTTCTATTAACTGGAGTTATCAACCCTTGAGCATTTGGAACACTCAAGGTATAATTGGACCTCAATTTGGTAAAACATGCTCTTAAAGCTCAAACTTGAGAACCCCAATCATCAGCCATATTTGACTGTCATAAGATCCAGAAGCTATTAGGACAACATGCCAATCCCCAAGGAAGCTTTGCAGGTTCCAGGATGGTCCAGAAATTTGAGTGAGTCCTGGGACACACTGGGATGCCCAAACTACTAGTTGCAAAAAAGGATGGGAGTGTTATAGATTCAGGCAAGTTTACAAATCAAAGAGTATTCAGGGGAGAGGCAAAGGTTCCAAGATGGTGGCAGAGTTGGTAGAAGTTTCACTCACCTCCTTCCAGGACCAACCTGGAATTACAAATAAAAAAAATATAGAGCAATCAACTGAAGATTAGCTGAAAAGAAGACTTATAACCAAGGATTTACAGAAGAAGCCACATTAAAACTGGTAGAAAGGGCAGTAATGTGAAAAGGGCTGGCTCCACTCCCACAGATAGTGGCTGAGATTTGAAAGAGATATCTCAGCTGCAGGGGGTTCCCCCTGAAAAGCATGGGGTCTCAATCCCAAGCCCAACTCCCCAGCCCAGAGCACCAGAGCTGGGAATAGACACCCAATAATATCTGGCTATAAAAAGCAGCAAGGTTTCTGTTTGCCAGGTAGAGGTAGGAGTCCTCTAGAGACACAGGAACACTCTAAAAGAGCCAACACAAAAAATCTCATTTGTAGCCACTCACTCTGGGCTCTGGTGGGGGGTAGGCTGGAACAGATAAGAGTCACATGAGGAGAGACTGGTGTCTGTGGCTGTAGGGAGAGAGCTAAAGGAACAGCTTCCAGGATCCATGAACTGAGTTATTCTCCCACACCACAGATGCCATCTTTCTTAGCATGCCCCTCCATACACCATCAGCCCATAGGAATGCAATAACCCAACCCTCTGGGATCCCTGCCATCCCAAACAGTGGATCTTATGACCTGCTGAGGAGTCAGCTGGCTTGGCCAAGGTGTAGAGGTCTGGGAAGGTTCAGGAAGTGTTAATGACTGAGTTGTGTGGTTTTGGACCATTACCACCATTTTCCCACGAACCTGACTGGCACTTCCCCCACACATGAGATCGGCTAGCCTCACTCTTCAGGCTCCTGGAAGCCCCACCCTCCTGCCTCCTGGTAGCTCCACTCTGCCAAGGTCTGGG